ATGGCGATTAAAAATTAGTTTTGGATTTGTTAACATTTATAATACCATGACTGGTGTCAATGGTTGATCGGCGATCTAATTTTTATTTCTAAGGAAGGAAAATATTTTTCATGTTAAAACAATGCGATACCATGAATTTTCAGGTTTCTGTCACTTATGGAGTATAGTACGAGAGGTGAAATTGTAAGCTTTGGTGGGATTGGTCGTTAGGTACAGTCTTGAGTCTGTTTAACTTACCTGTTGTTTTCGTTTGTTAAAGGAATTGTTCGTTGAATTAATGACACAAATTAAATTTTTTTCAGGTCAGGTTTGTTTTGATCAGGGATATGACACACTTTCAGATGGAGGTGACGATGAAATCTGTAATAATCAAGTCAATGAGGGTGAGATACTGGAACATGGGAAATGTTTCACTGAAGGTGGATATGAGCGATATAAGGCCAACATTTGGATTGAAGTAAGAGAAAGTCTTCTCGTCTCCCCACCCCAATACTTACGACACAGGGACATTATTTTGATTGGATCACCAATCATATTGGGTTCTTTGGAGATCTCCTTCATCCTCTTCGATGTGTATGATCCAAGATTATTGGTCAAGCATTATTATTGGTTAGGTCAGGGGTCGGCAACCTTTTGCTAACTATGTGCCGACTTAGGGTTTTAAAATCATTCAGTGTGCCAACAGTATACATATTTTTATACAAGTCAAGGTCAATATACCTGTTATACAATATATTTTATATAGTAATAGCGATTTTCTAAGCCCGGCTTAGATGTAGCACAAGGCCGAAAGTATGGGGTACCCAGTGAGGATCGAACTCACTACTCAGTCGTAATTGATTTGGCAAGACAAGCTTCCTAACCATTACACCACGTCGAGATGCCCAGTAAATATGTATGTAAAGATTTTCCAAGCGTAGCTTAGATGTGGCACAAGACCGAAAGCATGGAGCATCCAGTGAGGATCGAACTCACTTTTCAGTAGTAACTGATCTAGCAAGACAAGTTTGTTAACCATTACACCACGTCGAGGTGCCCTGTGATTTTCCAAGCATAGCTTAGATGTGGCACAAGGCCGAAAGTATGGGGCACCCAGTGAGGATCGAACTCACGACTCAGTTGTAATTGTTCTAGTGAGACAAGCTTGCTAACCATTACACCGCCTCGAGGTGCCCTATTTTATATAGTAATACAGTGGAACCTCGGTTCACGAATTTAAGGCCGTTCGTAATCCGAAATGTTCGTAAAGCGAAACTATTTTTCCAGTAGAAATCAATGTAGAGAAAAAAGTCACAGTTCAATAAAATTAGAAAAGAAAAGCACAATACAACAGACAAATGTATACAACACGTCGGTCGATTCAGAAATTATTCCGTTCGGGTCAACTCGGTTCGGGAATGTTGTTCACGAACCGAAATTTAGTTCGATAACCGAGGCATTTTCATCTCGAATTTTCTGTTCAAAAACCGATTTGTTCGACATGTGGGACGTTCGACAACCGTGGTTGCATTGTATATAGTACATATACTTTCGTATATATAAAAATTGAAACAGCTAAATACCTTCTTTGCGTTGTAGTAGTTATTGGTTAGGACTTCGTGATGTCATTTGCAGCTAGGTGCCATTGGGAATTGCTTGGCGTGCCACGTGTGGCACGCATGTCGTAGGTGGCCAACCTCTGGTCTAGGCAAACGGAGCAGAGCAATTGGGGTCTGTTCCCACATAAAAACAGTTACCGAAAGAGCAAAAAAAAAAAAAAAAAGAAGCTCGACCTGGTCTCGCCGCTAGTAGACCAACACTCTCCCTGTCGGATGACCGTGGGTGGTACGTCAATCAAGTAAAGACCTGTTCTCTACGCCGCTTTTTGAACTCCCTCAATCAATTGCCTTGGAACAACTCTTGGCTGTCTAGCCACAACTGCTAGTCAACCTCTTCATTCCAACTTAAGAATTCCTTATACGGGGGAAACTTCTTCAAATCCCGAGTATTTACTTTCATCTTCATTTTTATGAGATGAAAAATTGTCAGCCATTATTATTAATTTTTGACCAGTATTTATTTTCATCTTCATTTTTTATTAGATGAAGAATTGTCAGCCATTATTATTAATTTTTGACGAGTATTTATTTTCATCTTCATTTTTATTTGATGAAGCATTGCCAAACATTATTAATTTTTGACTAGTATTCACTTTCATCTTCATTTTTTATTAGATGAAGAATTGTCAGCCATTATTATTAATTTTTCACTTCTATTTACTTTCATTATCTTTTTTATTAAATGAAGTATTGTCAGCCATTATTATTAATTTTTGACTCGTATTTACTTTCATCTCCATTTTTTATTAGATGAAGTATTGTCAGCCATTGTTATTAATTTTTGACGAGTATTTACTTTCATCTTCACTTTTATGAGATGAAGAATTGTCAGCCATTATTATTAATTTTTGAGTAGTGTTTACTTTCATCTTCACATTTCTATTAGATTAAGCATTGTCGAT